TATAGATATAAATTTTTTCTTTTTTTTTAAATAGCAAATAGTAGCTTTTCTCATGAGGTTCTAACATTTTATGAGGCCTGTGGATGTGAAACTAGCAAATAGATTTATTAGGCCTAAACTTGGAATTGAGATTATGGAATCTGACATTCACCAAACTGGGTTTTTGACAGACTGCAATAAGCAATATGGCAGTAAACCAATGTGGTATTCGGCAAACTATCTTACACAGTCTTATTTGGCATGCAGGTACATTTTAGTTTTATTTCTGATTATTAAAGAGTAAGCCTAAATGTGCATTTTTTAAATTTTTGCAATACAGCTAGTTGGTTGTGTTCAGGCCAATATCACAATGTTACTGTAAATAAATATATAAAGATTTAAGGTAAGTTGCTGAAAGCAACATACAGTAATTATGATAATTGGTAGGTGACATTTTAAATTAGAAATTGGGAGCATTGAGTCTCTAAGGGTGCGTTTGGGCGAGGTTTTTTGTGGAGTCTAACACGGAATAAATCCGGAAACGACCATTTCCAGTCCTCACCCAATTGGGTGTTAAACGCGGACCGCCTGCTGATACCCGCTGATAATCCAACGCTGCAAATTGCAGTGTTATGGAGGAGCAAAAACAGCATGCTTTAGCAGCAGGGAGCATTTTTTATCACTTAATCAATTTTTGATTGCACTTTAATAGTTTTGGCAAATACCAGAAGTAAAGTTTGTTTAAATTGCCCTGGTCCCTGCTTTTTTTACAGTTTATTTCCAAACACAAAACTGAAAAGCTTGATAAAATAAATTATTTCAGCGGAGGGCTAGCCTGGAATCCAAATTGTTACCTTACTACATACGTCTGCTGCATGCACGCGTGATCGTGGCACCACTGCTTATCCGTTTGACAATGGTAGTAATTTGCTGTTTTAAACTACTGTACCATTGTCAAACGAATGAAAGTTTATTCATAATATTACACCCAAAATGCACATCTGCAATTTATTGAGTGTTTGTAATGTAGGCCCATGCTTTATGAAACTTATTGTTGTTATAGCTTCTTTGGTCATTTCACTACTTAAATTGAAACAACAACATTATGCAGTGGACCAAATTAAGCGTGGGGTGATGCAAGGATCCAGGGCAACTTGATAGAAACTCATCATT